AATAAATTAGCTAATGCAACTGTGCAAGTGTAGTAGCTCAATATCAGTTGTACCTTCTTCCAAAGTACAACAACCACTGAGTCATTGATCCTTCTATTTTTTCCTTTTGCAGTAGACTAATACTACTATGAGCTATCAACTCCAAATTTTTGTATCATAGTATGTAAACAAGGGCTCAAACGCGAGATATGTAATCACAGTAAATTGAATAAAACGACACCTAATAAACTTCTGGGAAACTTTGAAGCTTCTAAAAGTTACAGAAGAGATAATGAGGTCGCAGCATTAATTTATCACCTGACTTATTTCATGCAATCATTTCACAAATGACTTCTCGATATTGAGTTGAAAAACTTGAAGCAATTGATTCAATCTTGATGATAATATAGAAATATATTTACTACTCAGAAAGAACATCATTCGAGGTTATTTAGTCCATTCCTTGTCGAGACCACAACGCGTAGACAAATTAGTATATTTTTGAGAAATTTTAATACTAATACGTACACCAGCATAACTTCAACCACATCAAGTAAAGCTTACTATGAGGTATTCAATAAACATCTGTTTAATTCATATTAAAATTACTAAATATTCATAATCTGGAAAAGCAAGATCGAAAATTAAAGTAAAAGAACTGATTTTTTGATATTGGTATAAAGAGAATTGCAAAATCATCACTAAATATCATATTTTCACGCACCAAGATCTACCTATCAATGATAGAACCTCATAAAAATACAATTTGAAGAATCAAGAAAACTATAGAGAAATCACGAATATAAGTAACCGAACCTTTCGATTGATGAATGTAAATTGTGAAGAACATCATTGGCAATGTGAGGCATTAGTCACCCAATTATTCCCCCGCAGCGATGGTTTTGAGGGTAACCCAATTTTCTCTAGCATTGTCTTTCCAGTATTTCAATTAAAATCAAAAAAATCAAACAACTCAGAATAACGAGTAAAGAAGAAAGGGGCGGAGATAAATTCTCCGCGCACCACGAGTAAAGAAGAAACGACCGTCGATTCCTGTTATGTGCGAAGAATCCAATCCCTTGTCTGAGGTCGTCTTGCTTTAGTTTTAATTGTTTTCT